CAAGAAATCTAACTCCCCCTCACATGAGGCAGTGATGTGATCCACCTTAAAATTACTTATTTTTTTATGCACATTTTATACTAAATTTTTTAGGATATTATACTTTAATGAAATGTATTTTTATATTTTTGATTGCAGGTGCAAGAAAAAAAAAATTTAAGAGTAAAAATGTGTAAAAATACATAAAAAAAGAGCAAAAATAGGCTAAACTAAATAAAATTGCAAACCAGTTGAACCGGCGCCTAGGCGTCAGGATCTGGCGCCTAAGCGCCACGGTTATTTTTTAGAAAATTCATTGAATGAGACCGAATTTTGAAAAGAAGTCTGAAGCAACCCTTTGTCATTTTTGAAGCTCTATAAATATGATTAATTCCAAGAAGTTAGGGTGTTCGGATATATAGAGTCACATAGTGTGTGAGTGTGTTAAATGTGTGAGTAGTTTTTTTTTGTGAGTCTTTGTTATTTTTGTCTGAAGTTTGTGAGTCCTGTAAGTGTTATTGGAGTCAGAGAAGTCAGAGAACTTCAAAAGAGTGCTTGGAGAATCATTCAAGATAAGTATTCGTATCTTTGTTTTTAAGTTTTGTACTTTAGATTTGAGTTTTATAAATATGTTTTGTTTTGTTATTCCCAAGAGTTTTAAGTAGTTTTCTCTCTTTCTCCTTGCACCATGTGATTTTAATTTTGTTTAGAACTTTTTTTATTCTTAAAAATTATGATATTTTTATCAGATTTTCATTTACTTTACAAATTGGTCAATTGTGTTTTTAAAATTTGCTGAGGAAACTTATAGACCCGAAATATAGACCCGAAAGAGCTAAGATTTATTAACTTGTAAGTATCACATTTTATCTTGGAAATAGCAGTAGCGATCGTCCGAAGGGAGGTGCAAATAGATAGGGAGATAAAATTTGATAGGAGTAGAATTTATGTTTCTAAAGTGACAGGCTAGATTTTTTCATCAGTTTGATCTAGAGATTGAAACTAAGGGTCACTGGTAGGTCTTATAGAGAGGACACAGTGGGTAATCTAAGAGTGAGAGACTAAAACCTACCCAGCAATACTATACATGCCGACACCAACTTTAGATTCGTCAACGCTCTTTGCACAATCGAAAGCAGTAAAGATTAGGTATGTTCATATTTGTCACAATAGCACATTTAAGCTTCGAAACAATTTTGAAATCCTACACTGATTATGAATTATTGGCAAGGAGAAAGTTTCTTTTTATATATTATCTAAAACCTTTACATTTACTTTTACTTGTATTTTGTAGAAATTAGTAAACTTAATTTTCATCTTTAGATAGTTACTGCAGTCTTAAGTAAAGTTTTCATAAAATTAAAATTCTTGTATTTCATTTTCATTGATTTGCGAGTTTTCTTAAAGTTAAAATTCTTGTATTTTATTTTCATTGATTTGCATTTTACGTGTTACTGTGGGATCAATACTGAGGTTTTTAAAGAAAATCTTATATTACTTGAAACGATGTGTATGCCCCTAGTGAGAAAACTATTTCTTTAAATTTTATCATATTACACTGTTCTTAGTAGCCGCAAAATATAATTTGGGTTAAATTTTTGAATTATTAAAAAATATAAATATCTGCGTAATTGCGGGTCGGGTCATGATGGGAAAGTAAGGGACATTTTCAAAGAAGGCGCATAGGCACTCACATAGAGTTTATTTGTGATAGGATCAAGAAACCAATAGCTTTTTTGAGTGGCAGAGTATCCCAGGAACACACATTTTATTGACCTTGGATCAAGTTTACTATAAGTAGGTGCAGTGTTTGAACAAAGCCATGCACCCGAAAATTTTGGGACCAGGGGTGATGAAGAACCGATTGAACATGACATCAAGATGACTAATGAAGTTCTGAAGTTGTGAATTTTTACAGGGACTCTATTGATGAGATAAGTGACAGTAAGCACGGCATCATTCTAAAAATTTTTCGAAAGATTAGATTTACAAATGATGGAACGAACCACTTCAAGAATGTGTCATTTTTTTCTCTCGGTCACCTCATTTTGTTAAGTATTTGTACATGAGTTATGATGGAGGATGCCCTCACCAAGAATTCATCTAATATAGAGCCAAAAAATTTACTGTCATTGTGAGTTCGAAAGACTTAAATTGACGTTTTTAATTATGTCAAGATGGAGTGAAAGTTTTTGAATGTGACTAGAAGCTTGAGATTTTTCTTTTAAGATATAGATTCACGTCATTTGAGTGTGATCATCAATCAATGTAATGATCCACCATTTATTTGTGTAGCTGGGAGTGAGAGAGAGTCCTTATAAGTCACTGTGAATAAGTGAAAACGCAGTAAAAGCGTGTAGGAGTGGCATAGATATGAAACACGTTGTTTAGCTAATTGACAAATCTCACATTTGAAGCTAGCAAATTTTTTATTAGTAGACATCGACGAATACAATTGTTTTAAATATTGAAAACTCTGATGACCTAAACGATAATATAACAACATAATAGGACATTCAGTGAATCTAAAAAAATTGCAACTATTGAAAGACATGTCCTTGTCTTCGTGTCTTTCTCTAGAAAAAAGTAGAGCCCAACTACCCTCTTAACAATTCCAATCATCCCCCCAAACGATGATCCTGAAAGAAACAAAAATCAGGGGAGAAATGAGCAACACAATCAATGTCACGTGTCAATTTATTAACAGATAAAATGTTACACTTCAGCAAAGGTACATGTAACACATATTCCAGATTTAGACCGGCTATTAATACAACCAACCCTTTATCAGCGATAAAATTACATGAGTTATTAGCAATTTTAACTGTATATTTCCCGGAGCATGGATAATATGTTGAGAAAGCTTAAGAGAATCTAGTCATATGGTCCACGACACCTGAATCAATGATTTATCTACTAGAAGAGACAAAAGTGGTGAGCGTCATAGAAATGGTACCTTGACTGATGTGGGAGGTAGATGGGCAGGAAGAGAGTTGATTGGTTCCAAGCAGGTTGATTAATTGCTCCATCTGACTCTTAAGAGAGTCAGATGATTTTGGAGCATTCTGAGCCGGAGTTAGTTGCGCCGTAATAAATTCTGATGTCATAGGGAAACCCTTAACAGAGGAGAATTTCGCTGAAGATTTGTATGACGGTTTACCATAGAGTTTCCAACACTTATCACGAGTATGGTTGGATTTGTGACAGTAGTCACAAGTGGAGCCAGTGGCTCAAAATGGCATGGATGAGTGTTGAGTACTGTTAGTGACCAAAGCATATGATTTGATTAAAATGGAAGTGACGAGCATGAAAAGTTTCCGACTCTCTTCCTGTCAAATCTCTCTGAATGCAACGCGAGCGGACAACAGGGGATCCAGGCTAAGAATATGGCCTCACACTTTATCAAGATCTTTGTTAAGGCCCGTCAAAAATTGGATTATGAAATTGGATCATGCGATCTTTTTCTACAATTTTTCGAAAGAGGGAGCTCTGCTGAAGAGTCCTATGTATAGTCATAATGGAGATCGCATGCCATCCACAAGGCCACCAAATCATTATAGTGCTGGTTCATGCTCCTTGATCCTTGTTTCGTCTCGTGAATCTTCTTCGAAACCTCATAAAGTCGGTTGGAGTTCCCTACATCCAAGTGGGTATCCTGAACTGCAGTCCATAGGGCACTTGCAGAAGGAAGAAACATATACGAGTGGCCAATCGTAGTCTCCAAAGAGTTAATCAGCCACGACGTTACCATAAAATTATCCACTTCTCATGCTCCATATGTCGGGTCAGTTTTCAAAGGTTCACAAATCATGACTATAAGATAGTCGAATTTACCGCGTCCATTGACAAACATGAACACAGCTTGGGACTATTGGAGAAAATTTGAACCATCAGTTTATGGATGGTGATTAAGAAGTTCATGTGGTTTTCCGGTCTTTCAATTTGCGGAGGGATTAAGGTCGTTGTTGATCCTCCGGTGGACTCAATTACCTCGTCAAAAGGAGGCTCAGCGGTGGAGTTCGTCATGATTCCGACTAAGTTGAAGATGAGGTTGGGATTCTGAGACATCAAAGGGTTCCTACTGCAGGTCAGCAACTGAACCATCAGGAAACTTGTAGGAAATCAACATGAAAACGGCAAAAAATTGCTGGAAATATGCAGAGAGACCTGCAGGGCAGAAGAAGGGGTCGGCGGCTAGAGAGAAGTGATGAAAACCTGCCTGAAGGATGGGCGGCAAAGGTGAGGTATCGGAAAAAAACTGTAGGAAAGGAGGGGCGGCAAAATCTGTAAGGAACCTGCCGGAAATATGCAAGGAAACCTGTCGGATAGCGACAGGTTAGATCCTATAGATGCCACGGCGGCGACTAGAGCTGGATCCTAGGCTCCAATATCATGTAGAAATTTGAGAATAGAGTAGGATACTTTCATTGATAAGAAAAGTGTTATAAATACATATTACAAGACCCAAATAAAAGTAAAGACAAAAATTCAAAAATAGATCAACTAGGAAATATATAAATATGAAAAAGGAAAATAAATGAAGCAAATAATTGCGACAGTAATTAGCCTAATAATTAGGCTAATTATTGTAATTGAAATCATGGTGAGGTAATCTCTACACGACTCGCTAGTGTGGGTGTGTGTGTGTGTGTGTGTGTGTGTGTGTGTGTGTGTGTGTGTGTGTGTAGAGAATTGGGAAAGGGCTGGTGGGTGCTCATGTTTTGTACACCAAACTTATGACTTTTGTTTGTCTTGAGCATCAGATCATGTCTCGATTCCCATGAATGTAGACTTATTGAAGCCAAACAACATAAATCTTGGTGCCATGTGTATATTTTTGCTTTTTTATTCATCCTTGTAGCACATTGCTCTTCATCCTCACGACAATTTCACATTTAGTGACCTGGTTCTCTCATTATAACAAAATATACAGATTTTGCCTTTTCTTCATAGCTGATAAGTGCTAAATATTTCAAGTTTTCTTTGTCAGTTTAATAATTTTTCCTTGAGCTTCATTTCAGCAAACCTTAAAGGACTCGTTAAGAAAGGACCACTAACACAGAAGAAAATGAACAAGGCTCTGTCACTTCTCAAAGTTGTTCTGGATTACTCAGATTTTAACAATGTCGATATGGTTATAGAGGTAAATTGGAGTGCTGTCCAGCGACAGTTTGGCCTTCTTTGAAATTGTTCTATCGTTCATATAATCATTCTTAAAGTGATTTCCTGATAGCATCACAATATTTTCTCTTAGGCTGTCATTGAGAACACACCTCTAAAACAGACCATTTTTAATGAAGTTGAGAAGTTGTGTCCTCCACACTGCATTCTGGCAACAACAACATCTACTATCGATTTAAATATTGTTGGCAAGAACACAAATTCTCCAGATCGCATAATTGGAGCACATTTCTTCAGGTCAGTTTTCTTGGCATAATTTCAATGTCGCAGTACTTGAACATTCTAAGCATATTATGTAAAGCAATGTCAATTAGCATCACAAACAAAGAAAAAAATAGTTAGTGTCAGATACATAATTATTAGCGAAAATGCCATATTTTAAAGCTGAAATCACAAAGCTTCGCATAATAGAAATATGCCAAAAAGAAATAATCTCTTTCGGTATCTCCGGGATAAAATTGTGCCAGGCAGTTTCTCACCGAACAGAATATTGTGTGAGGGTAATACTGTTAAAAATTTATATAACATTAATATATGGTGTTATTAAATATATAATCTATGTACGTTAATATATGTGTAATAATACATGGTTAGCCTTTTTATTTATTTATTTGCTTCATTTAAAACTATTTTTTGAGTCAACTTCAAATCAATGAGACTTAACTCGAATTGAAATCATTTTGAGTTGTCTCACATAGACATAAAATGATTAAAATTTCAAGTTGAGTTTAAGCCGAACATTTACTGTCTATTTTGAATTCAGGTTGAGCCTAACTCACTTGAACTTGACTTGATATCACCCCTATGTGAGGAGCACCTACTTTATTTGACACGACCAAAACAATTTCAATCATGTGCCTAATTAAACAGTGGGAGATGTGACATCAAGTTCGATGCTCCTTCCACAAAAGTTTGTTAGCAAATCCTAACACAAACTCTCCCTCATACCTCAGCCAAAACAAATACATATGGACAAAAAGAAGTTTTTCAAATCCTCATATTATTTTTTCAGGAAATGAAATAAGTTAAAAGAAATGTACATTTTCTTTGTTAAGAAAAAATGTTCCTAGCGTTGCTTTTTTTTTGTTTTTGTTTAAATGTCTTATTAACTTTGAGTATTTACCTTCTAAGATTAAGTAATTATTCGTCATAGCCTAACAAAAATATATCACGATATTCTAATATAAAATTTTTCCCACATTAACCATTTATGTAAACAGGAAATGGCCTGGTGCAATGCTTCTTAAATCCCATTCATCACATGCGGCTCCAAACAAATAATATTGAATCAAAATCCTATTGCTGTAATTTTTTAAGAGCAGTGATTCATAATCAAAGATTTAAACATTTCTCATTAGGTAAACTAGCAATGGAATTTTCATATTAATTCCTTATATTTTACATCAAAAACCTCTCCTACTACAATGTGCATGAAACATAGAACAGCGAATCAGGATCCTAAGGTTTCTGTATAATCAAAATGCAGCCCTGCTCATGTGATGCCTCTGCTGGAAATTGTTTGGACAGAAAAGACATCTCCACAAGTAATTCTTGATCTCATGACCATAGGAAAGATAATGAAAAAAGTGCCCATTGTGGTAAAAAACTGTACCGGTTTCGCCATAAATCGCACCTTCTTTCCATATCACCATGCATCGGCATTATTGGTTCAACAATGCGGAGTCGACCCTTACAGAATCGATAGAGCCATCACAAAATTTGGCATGCCAATGGGTCCTTTCCAGTAAGTTTTTCTAATAATGACACTTTTTAACTTCTATATGTATATGAAGTAATGAGATATTGAGTATTGTTAACTTAATATGAAGATATGGTTTACTTATTGGATGATTTGCATACATAACACTCAATTCCTGCGTATTTGCATATCTAACAGCAAAACTTCAATTTTTAAATACATGTCACCTTACCTATGCATGCAAAGGTGTATTTCACTTTTAAAAAGTAAAAAACGGTGGTATTTTTTTAAGTGATATACAAGATTTGGATGGAATAGATGTAAAAAATAAAATTCAGGTTTTAGATATGTAAATGCATAGGAATTAGGTGCAATGTATGTAAATGCCCCTTATTTATTTGGTCCTACTTGCCTAAAATCACTCTCTTCTATATGCTTAATGTGCTTTGCTACCTCTGTAGACTAGCTGATCTGGTTGGTTATGGTGTGGCTTTGGCGGCTAATGCAATCTATTCCGTAGCTTTCAAAGGACGAACTTTTGAAGATAATCTTCTGGAAATAATGATTCGAGATGGTCGAAATGGTCCGGAAGCAAAGCTATCAAATTAATTAAGATTTTGAACCTTTCTGCTTTTTTTCTTGTATTGTGGTATTAACTATTTGGTTTTGTGGAATGTACTCATTGGCAGGAAAAGGAAATGGGAGGGGCTTCTACCTATACCGAAAGGGAAGCAAACCAAAGCCTGATCCTTCTTTGCAAGCCCTCATTGATGAATCCAGAAAGCATTCAAATTTAAAACCCAGTGGAAAGGTTTCGCCTGCTAAAGCTCCCTTGCTTTTCTGCAAGCCATGTAGTGATTTAAATTTTAAGTTTTTTATTTTTATTTTTATTTTATTTTATTGTGGGTTAGTCTATAAGCATCAGTGATGAGGAGATCGTGGAGATGATATTTTTTCCAGCTGTAAATGAGGCATGCAGAGTAATTGATGAAGGAGTTGTTGTTCGACCATCTGATATAGATGTTGCAACAATCCTAGGAATGGGTTTTCCAAGATATAGGTCAGTTTATTTTTTCTTGCTTCCTACTCTTACTCCCTTCTTCAGTATTCATTCTTTTACTTGATGGGAACATAACCTTTGCCATCTGCTTGAATGGCATCACGCAATGCCGCATGACCTATAAATTACTATTTTTTTTTCTATGCCTATATAATTAGTCTATTAATGAGGTGTTAACTTGAGGACAATCATATAAAAGTTTTTTTTTTTTTACTTTGCTTTTAGGATTTACGTGGTAATTTGAAAGAAGTTTCATGACACATTGATTCGCACATGATACTCGTGCGCAATAATATCCTCCAGCAGGCCATGCTACGCTTTAAATGGAGCATTTTAAAAAGTTCAAATCTAATTTTCCCACTTTCCACTTATTATAGGATATTATTTCAAATATAATGTAAATAAATTTTTTTTCGATAAATCAATCTTCCTTGCTCAAAGAAATAGTGGTTCTAGTTGTTTGTCAAGACTCATTTTTCTCTAAATTGCATAAGAAAATATGCATGAAGAACAAGACACTTATATTCTCTCAAAAAATCAGCATGGGATGACACCTATAACTTACATACAAGGCACATGCATACTCACACTCAGACTCACATCATGAATATGCTCTTAACAGGTATATGGGTGGCACATATATATCTACATGTAATACACACATGCCGACGCATGTGCTACATGCGTGTGCACGAGTGCTACGTGCACATGTGCATGCATATATGAGATGTAGTTACCTCTTCTCATAAGGTTGATCAATCTCCTCCTAATTTATTTTTCTCCTACCATCTTATGTGGTCTTAAAACTCAATTTCTCATCCATTTCATATGTAACAAAAAAATTGGGGATAACACATTATAGTATTTCAAGGGTAATATTTTATAGATAGCTTTTATGTTTTCCCGTGTAATTTAACATTCAAAACTATCAAAATCATTACAAACTTGTCCATGACATTAATTTAATCTTGATGAAAATTAATGGTTTTGAACATATTTTACAAATTTATTGCATCAATTTATAATTAAAAAAAGAATGTAAAATTAAAAAAAACATCAAATATCTTTAAAATCAGGAAAGTTAATCAGCATATGCGTGCATACATGCACATGTTCGTGCACGTGCATAGACATAGATAGGTAGACTTTTCTATTCTAGAAGGAGATTATTCATTCTCCTACTCTTATATTTTTTCATTGTTATGATATTCAAAAGTATGACAAAAAAA